AGGCCCGCCCACCCTGCAGCCGCAGCCTCGCGCCAGGGCCCCTCCCGGGCCAAGTCCTTACCCCGGGGCTGCGGTTGCTGCGCGGCCGCGTCTCCTGCTCGCCTCCCGCAGCTGGCTCACGTCCACGGTCCGTCTGTGCCGGGAGCCATCGTCCCTCGGCTTCCGGCGTGCTTAGAGTCACTTGGTCAATGTTACTACGTTGAGTAGCAATTGGAGCGCCCGGTTACAGGGTGCTCAGTCCATTTTTAAAATGTTAACAATTGAACAATTTTAAAATGTCACCACCTCTCCTCACGGTTCTCACCTCAGTGTCCTTACTTTCGCCAATCCCGGGTTAATGGCTACAGAGAATAAAATCGTGCGTCGGGTTTGCTTTCTAACGTGCAGCATGAAATCCTCGATTTCAAGAAATCATTGAACTATGTTGTACAGCGCCTTGGAGTCGTTTCTCCCTCCTAGCGAGCGCTGCAGCCAGGGGAACCGGTCACAGGGATCTACCTATAACCCCCTCCTAGGGGAACGGACAACAGAAAAGTGGGTGAAGGGAGACATCGGTCCGTGTAAGACACGAAAAAATAATATAATTTATAAATTATCAAGGGTTCATGAGGAAGGGGGGAAATGAGCTGATTCCAAGGGCCCAGAAAGTTTTGAAAATGATGATGGCAACAAATGTACAAATGTGTTTGACATGATGGATGGATGGATGGATGGATGGATGGATGGATGGATGGATGGATGGATGGATGGATGGATGGTGTAAGAGTTGTACGAGCCCCCGAAAAAATGATTTAAAAGGAAGAAGATGAAGAAGAAAACGCTTCGGTCTTGGACTATCCTCACTACTCTTGCTGGTTTTGAGGGCCTGGTGGCAGTTGCTGTGTCGTCCGCCTTCTTTTTCTCTGGCACCCCCCACCCCCACCCCACCCATGACAAAGTCCGGAGTCCTCCAGTGACTGGGACCTGCTGATAACACGTCCAAAGTACGTGACTCGAAGTCCCTCCACCTTCCTTTCGAAGGAGTGTTCGGACTGTACTTTTCCCAAGACAGATTGTTTTCATTCTTTGGACAGGCCCAAGTAGTCACTATTCTTTGCGAACACCGTAATTGGACAGCATAAAATCGTCTCCAGTCTTCTTTAAGCCCTGTCCAGCATTTACATGCATATCGGGTGACTGACAGCGCCAGGTCTTGAGTGAGAGCTGTCTTTCGTTTTTAAAGTGACATCGTTGCCTTTTCACACTTTCAAGAGGTCTGTTGTAGCTGATTGAGTGGAGCCCTGGTGGTTTCCGCAAGATCAGCAGTTCGAAGCTACCGACCACGCTGCGGAGAAAGACAAGGTTAACCCCTCACCTGGCACCAGGGTAGTTCCTCCCTGGCCTACAAGGTGGTGATGAGTCAACGCGACTGGGTGAGGTGGGTGGGTCGGTTTTCTTGAAACCGGTAGTTCGTTGGAGTTCTTGACTGCCGCTTCCTTGAACGTTGATTGTACATCAGAGTAAAATGAAATGTTTGACTTCAGTCTTTCCGCCGTTCCTGTTTTTTGTGGAAGATTGTTGTTTGCTTTGTGTTGAGGTGTAATCCCCACTGGAGGCTGCAGTCTTTGATCGTCATCAGTACGTGCTTCAACTCCTCTTCACTTTCAGCAAGCAAGGTGGTGATCCCCGCGTGGCAGATTGCCGATGGGGCTTCCTCCAATCCTGATGCAGCGTTTCTCAGATCATCCAGTTTCTTGGCTTATTTGCCCGGCATATAGAGGGACTGAGTATGGTGAAAGTATACAGCCCTTAAATAGAGGTATATCAAAATAGAATTCAACAGTGGGTGTGTTGCGCAAAAAAAAAAAAAAAAAAGCCAAACCCACTTCCCTCCCTCAGATTGATTCTATCTCAGAGTGACTCTATAAGGCAGAGTAGAACTGGACTAGGGTTTCCAAGGCTGTAAATCTTTGTGGAACCAGGCTGCCTCATCTCTCTCCCTTGGATTGGCTGGTGGGTTCGATCGTGGTGGTAAACCCACACCAGGGGTTCTTGGGTAAAAAGATTCATCTATAAAAGTCCACTGATGTATGCATTTGAACCAGAAAAACCTACTGTTTGGGGGTTCTGGGTGTTGTTATGTTGACAGAAATGAAGAAAGAGAAGGAGGAGGAGAAGAAAAAGAAACACTGTCCTGAAACGCATTTTGAAATGACTATGCCCCTGTAATAGTGTGTTAAGTGTAGGCTTTATACCCTTAGGCCAGTTTTCAATTGCTTCAACATTTTATTGAGTTGGTGTGGGTAAGAGCTGCAGGGACCTGGGTGGGGCTGAGACTGCACAGGCTGGATGCTACCCAGAGTGCAGGAACCAAACAGAAACAGCTCTATAAGCTCAGAGAGTAAGCTGAAGTCACCGCTTACTAGTTCTTCATAGTACTTTGGTGAAGAAATTTTTTAAAAGAAGCTCTTTGTTCCTCTACCCTAATGTTTTATTGTGAAAAAAATTAAATCTGCAAAAACCGAAGTCTTTTCAATATACTAGTCAAATAAGATGTAGATAAAAAAATATTTCACCCCCAAATGCCTGTCAGTCTCTCTCTCTTTTTTTAAAAAACATTTTATTAGGGGCTCATACAACTGTTATCGCAATCCATACACACATCAATTGTGTAAAGCGCATTTATACATCATTCTCAAAACATTTTCTCTCCACTTAAACCCCCAGCATTAGGTCCTCATTTTTCCCCTCCCTCCCCGCTCCCCCCTCC